TACATTCACATCAAATGTTAACTCAGTGGTAGAGTTACACTCACGGGACGCTGCACTTCACAATCACAAAAGTATTATTTGCATGTGCTTTAAAGCCTTGCCGGTTAAACATTTCATTTGCGTGCTGTTCTGACATGTGCTTTTTGCGCGTACACCTGAAGCACGCGCACACTAAAAAGCCTGTCAAACAGCGCCTGATTACTGGACTAAGTTATATTACGTCTGTTTGTGGTAATACTGTAAAAAAACAAAAACAAGGTTTACATATAAACACAGTTGGTTATGTCTAAAGTGAAAGTAAACAGTTGCAACAGAAAAATGGATGTGTGCCTGTATATTAGCAAACTAATAGTTCTAAACATGCTGCCGATTGTCATTAAAGTTCACCCAAAAATTTAAATTCTGTCGTTATTTACTCACTCTCATGCTGTCCAAAACCTGTATTAATTTCTTTCTTGTGCTGAACACAAAATAAGATTAAAGAATGTAGGTAACCAAACAGTTGCTTGCTGGTCCCCATTGACTTTTATAGTAGGAAAAAAAAATACTATAGAAATCACTGGGGACCAGCAACTGTTTGGTTACCCACATTCTTCAAAATAAATGTTATGTTCAACAGAAGAAAGAAACTCATTCAGGTTTAAAAAATACTTGAGAGTGAGTAAATGATGACAGCATTTTCATTTTTGGGTGAACTATCCCTTTAATGTTAATAAAACAACAAAACACAGAGAAAAATCACTCACTGCTCTTGACTGAAGAACTTTAATACAGTTGTTTGTTTTAATAAGAATCAATGTATAATTTATACAGTATATAGTACTGTGTAATTTAGTAATTTATACAGTATATAGTGTTTTATTTTTTATCTTTATATTTGTTATTTCAGTTTCTTAAATGCTACTGCTAAAACACCTACTGTACCTGAAAAATAAAGCATCTTTGTTTTTATTTGTTTAATAACAAAGATAAATAATGACAGATTTTTATCTTCACCCTCTTTGGCCTAAATATCTGCCATTCTTTTTTACCTTGTACGGCTTTGTTTTTAAAATAGGGAAATTAGTTTGGCTGTACTGCTCAGACAACTTGCAAATTAGCAAAACCAACAAAATGACAAAGAATCTTGATAAAATCGTGAATTGGGATTTTCTGGAAAAAAATCGTGATATATTTTTGCCTTATCTCCCACCCCTAGTTTAACGCATATTTGCTGAATAAAAGTATTCATTTATTTCAAAAAGATTAGAATTTCTAGAGATTTCTAGAGACTTCTTCAAATCTCAGTTATTGATGGCTTTTTGTCGCTGATGTGACTTTCTGACATTGACTTTTTAAACTTCCTTGTAGGACCCTTTTGATCAGTGCATTAAAGAGTCCATGATGCTGGAGGCTGTCAACCCACTCTGCCCTGAAAACATTCATGTAGCAACTGTTATCAAGGTCAAAGGTCAACACATGTGGATTCGTTTGGAAGGTGTGACATCAACACTCCTTTTTTTCTGCAGTATGGCAGCTGTGAATGAGCAAAAATAATTATGCGGTGTCTCCTTGGACTGGTTCCAGAGGAAACTAACAAAACATAGTCCCTGATTAAAAATAGCAAGACCACTATAATGGACTAATATAAGACTGGGCTTAACCCTTTATAGACATCACAGGTCAGTAGGCATGAGGATTAGTCTCATTTATCTCTCCCTTCCGCTCTTTGTTCAGGTCTGAAGCAAGCCATCCCAGAAATCATAGTTCACACAGACTCCATGGATATTTTCCCAGTGAGCTGGTGTGAGACCAATGGCTATCCCCTTCATCACCCCTGCAAGCCCAGAGGTCAGTTTTACAGCACAAACTTCTCAATGCCAAGGTGCTGTGCACACAAATTACCTTATAAATTGATATTTATATTTGATATTGGCTTGTTAAGAGACTCAAATGTATATTTTATGTGTTCAATGCAGTGGAGAAACAGAGAAAGGTTGCAGTTGTTCAGCCAGAGAAACAGTAAGAAAGACACAAAAGTGTTTGAATTGAATTCAAGTACTTTTGATTATGGAAAAACACTAATTTATCTCTTTCATCACAGCCGGGTACCATCCAAAGACTCCTCACCTGATACTACCAAACAACAGATTAACAGCAGTCAGACTGAGATGGGTAAGTGCTAGATACACATCTGAACATTTCTTCACATGCATGGCCTTCCTTGTCAGCCGTTTACACACTAATAAAAGCTCAATGGTCTCTAACATTGTACTATTTTAATCTTGTCTGTGTCACCAACAGGCCAGGCGAATGGGAAGTACTGTTGCCCCAAGATCTATTTTAACCATCGCTGCTTTTCAGGGCCCTACCTCAATAAGGGCCGTATTGCAGAGCTGCCGCAGTGTGTGGGACCTGGGAACTGTGTCCTGGTGCTGAAGGAGGTTAGCCATAACAGACTGCTGATTTGCAGTAGTATTTAAATTTGTTCTTTCTAAATTACAAAATGTAACGAGTGAATGTTATTAATAGTACTTAAAACCTCCTATTCTGCTGTATAAAACTCGAATGGAAATGTGCAAAAATGTATAATGGTGATTTTTACAGGGATCAAACGTGTTCTAAGACATGACACTAAGTGTCTGAACATAATAATAACAGGAACATGAGCAGCAAATCCGCATATTAGAATGATTTCTAAAGGATCATGTGACACTGAAGACTGGCGTAATGGTTGCTGAAAATATAGCTTTGCATCACAGGAATAAATTGCACTCTTAAGATTTATTAAAATAGAAAACTAAATTGAACTAATATTTCACATTACTGATTTTAACGTATTTGCAACCAAATAAATTCAGCCTTGGTAAGCATAAGAGACTTTTTTTCAAAAGCATTACAGAAAAATGTAATACATTTATAGTAGTACATAATAAAAAAAAATAATTTTAACCACTTTATAGCCAGATGTAAAAATCTGAAAAATTTAGTAAAATAATAGCCTAGATGTTTATGGTTGCTGTAATATAGATAGGCAGTCACAATGAATATGTGTCGTTAACTAACAGCATGATTTGTATAAAATCATATCAAAGTCACCTCTGATAACAGATCAATTTCAATTGAAATGTAGAAACATTCATTTTCTGTAAAGCTGCTTTGAAACAATATGTATATCCTTTTATCTGCATTTTGTAATAACTTTAAACATGGCTCAGAAACTGGAGTTGAACTATTCTGTTCTGTTTTCACTGTGTGTTGGTAATGCTGACCTATTGACCTGTGGCCTGTCCAGGTGCTGACACTGCTGATAAATTCTGCCTATAAGCCCAGTCGAGTGCTGAGAGAGCTGCAGCTGGACCAGGAGGGCCGCTGGCAGGGTCATGGAGAGACACTTAAAGCCAAGTGAGTATATGGTGCCCTAAACATTTCTTTTCTGCAGAAGTGAAGAGAAAAAAAAAAAACATGTCTACAGAGGTACCTGTAAAAGGTTGATTAAACAGGTTGTTGGAACAAGTTTTTTTTATCATTGTTTATAATAATTAACATAAATAGTTTGCTTTCAGTTTTCTGACCAGTCTTTGTGCTTTACAGGTACAAAGGGAAGAGTTACAGAGCGACAGTAGCGATTGTTCGCACTGCAGACCAGGTGGCTGATTTCTGTCGGAAAACCTGCATTAAGCTGGAGTGCTGTCCCAACCTGTTCGGCCCACGAATGGTGCTGGAGCGCTGCTCAGAGAACTGCTCTGTGCTCACCAAAACCAAATACAGTGAGCCTCTTTTCTCTATTTTATCAATATCAGTACATATTAGGGGTGTCGAAATGAATCGTTGCATCGCGATGCGGACGTGGACGATTCTGCATCGATGTTTAGAATGGCTCTGTAAAACTAACAGTACCTGTTTTATAGCATATTACTATGGGAAGAAAAAGAGCAGGCGTGTGGGCCGACCTCCCGGCGGACACTCCAACTTAGAGGGAGGTGTGAAGAGACGAGGCAGGAGGAGGAAGAGGAGGAAGCAGCTCTTCGTCCACAAAAAGAGACGTTCTTCTGCTTCAGTTGACAACACTCCGGCAGGTTCCCCTCAGGTAACCAACGCAACATTGGACTGCAAAAGTCTGAGACCTCTAGTGAAAATGCTTCTATTTTGCATTTTTCTAATTCAATACAAATGCTTCTAATTATAAACATTATCAGCATAACAATTTGAGTAATAAGATAAAGTATTTAGTATTACATTTTGAATGCCACAGATTTTGTGTTCTACAAATAGTCCAAATTCGTAAACATTTTTGCTTTATTTTACATCATAATGCTTTACTTTTAGATTATCTCTAGGTTTAATTAGATTTTCAGATGTTTGGACCACACTAAATGCAAATCAAATATATCCAGAATAACTGCTCAACAAGAACCATCTTCCTACATCTGTTTTAATGTGGTCATTAGAACGTGAAATGAAACATTTGCACTCAGAGTAAATGTCATTGCCATTTAGATTCAGTCCATGAGCAGAATTCAGATGTGTCTACCATCAAAATCAACATGTTGGCCATTATTATAAAATATATGTAAGTTAAACCAGAATGAGCATTAAGCTGGATCTACAAATCTACTAATGTCACTGTTTGGTCTTACAGGGCAGTGGTGATGAAGAAGATCTGGATGAGGATGACTCTCTAAGTGAAGACACGGGCTCTGAACTGCAAGACGAGCTGATGGATGACTCTGAATATTCAGAGAAGAAGTCACAGCCCCCCACCCCCTCCCCTTCCCCTCCAGAAACCCCCCGTCCCACACGCAGACGGCGCAAAGCTCGCTCACCATCCTGCTCGGATGATGAGAACAGACCTCCTTCACCCAAGGTAACACTGGGGTTTCTAGAACTATTAGACAATAATGTAATATTTGATATTAATTTGCAGCAGTGATTCTTAACCATGGGGCTGGGGCCTACTTGGGGGCATCAGCACACTTCCAAGAGGTGGTAAAATTGCTAAAAATGATTTAAAATAAGAATAAATATGCTTTAAGCTAAAACAACTAAAGATCAAGATGTAGGCTGACATCATAGTTATTTTTATTGGTTTCTGTGGAAAAATGGAAAGCAGCTTTCAGCATTAAAACTACAAATATCATGGGGGCCTTTAAATCTCATTTTTGAGAGGCCTTGAAGTGAGAAAGTATACAGTATACTTTTAACATTTAGGAATATAACTCCATATTAACTAGGTTTTGTACTGTTTTGTGTATGATAACACACAATGCAGTACTGACTGTTTTGCTGTCTCTTCTGAAGAGTCCACGTACTGAAGTTCCTCCGAAGCTGTGTTTGGACAGCAGTCCACTGGAATGGAGTGTCACAGATGTTGTTTGTTTCATCAGGACCACCGATTGTGCTCCACTGGCACGCATCTTTATGGATCAAGTAATGAACACACACCTCTAATATATCCACAGCTCCAGTACATTAACATCCAGTCACATTGCCATTTATAGTCTTCTGCGAGCACCTGTGATTGGATTTTAAAGGGTCTTAGATTACCTGCAGTGTAACATATTATAAGTACAGCGCGAATAATTGATTTCATTAAAATGAGGAACCTAATTAGTAAGTCATGGGAACAATTTACCTAAAATGAGTGAACAAATTAGTGCAACAAATGAATGCGTTGTTGTGAGAATTCTTCATTTGTGGCAAAACGTTTTGGGCCCCAATACATTCCATACACTCATTTAAACTACATTTCCTGGCTCACATGCTTATTCCTGGTGATTTAGTGATGGTGATTCTCTTTTTCATTTACCTTCCAGGAAATTGACGGTCAAGCGCTGCTTCTGTTGAACCTTCCCACTGTCCAAGAATGTATGGACCTGAAGCTCGGCCCCGCCATCAAGCTGTGCCATCACATCGAGCGGGTCAAGCTAGCATTTTACCAACAGTTTGCCAGCTCAGGTTGACATTCTGTAGAGAAGAGCAGGGCATTTGACATTTTGGGTGACGTTCCTAATGTTTGTGATCTTCCTTGTGCTCTATGGATCATAGAACCTTTAAAATCACTTAGCGCTTTAGACGCCTCCCGTACCATTAGATACTGCTGGAGGGGTGATTTTCAACAGGGTGAATCTGGTACTTGTACAGCTGGGCTCTCCATCTCAAATTAAGCCTGGACTACTGTTAAGTTTGTGATCTTTTTTTAAAGATTAGTTCAGCTCAGGGTAAGGTTAGACCTGAGTCAGAGGAACTAGTCCATTCAGTGTCTGCAACAATAAGCAAAGCTCTTGTTTCTGAAACCTTTATTAACTGTAGAGCGGATGACAATGCAATTACCTTAAGCACAAAAAACAATTGCCCATGTACTGTAAGTGGTATGCAAACGTGTACATACAGGAGCGTGAATGTAAATACTGTAAATAAGCAGATGTTAATTTTAGTGGGACTGATTTAATGCTCCCATTTCGGTTTGGTTTTTCTATAAAAAGCTTGGGAATTACACTGTAACACAACAGTGTAAAAGATGAGGCCATTGTGGTTTCTGTAAATACTACTAATAATTTGCTCATCCTAACGATGCATTATTAAATAGAAGTGCAGAGTAATAAAAAAAAAATGATGAGGTGTTATGGTTAAGACATAAGCACACAAAGATTTCAGGTTATGTCAGTGACTGTGATTGGGATAATATTCATAATGGCAAATCCAGGGTTTATCAACAACACCAAACTGAAGAGTTTTGTACTCTTACAAATGTGTCTGCTTGTAAAAGTAATATTTTTAATATTAAGTAGAAAGCAGCATCTGTGTTTAAATGCATATACTGCATTAAATAATTTCAGGGGCCTCTATGTTGTAATGGTCTAAATAACTGGTTTGGTTTTGCAATTGCAAAGCTATGCCCCCCAGTTGAATTGGTAATGAGATATGCAACAGTCTTCCTTTTCTTGATTTAGCAGTCCATTTCCCTTGATCCTTCTTCTTTAAGCATTTTGTGCTGGAATGGTGAAAGATGGTTTTGAAACGTTGTCTTGCCACATTCTGTTTTGTTCATTTGCTGGTTTTCATCCGTTTGATTAAAGTTTGTTGAAATAATATTGGTTTACTTTTAATTATATGTTGGTGGAAATTGTTATTTAAAAGAAAAATAAAATGAACAGAATCTTGCCTTTGGTTTCTTTTTTTCAGGGGGTGAATTTAAAGAAAGTGGTTGGGGCTGTGATAGCGTTAAAAAATTAATGTATTCATTTTTTTCCTTTAGAATATACATTTACAGACCATACATATTAATGTTTAAGTAGATGTTTCTGCATTCTAATTATATGGTCTCCCGTGTGTACACTGTTGTTCAAAAGTCTTGGGTCAATAAGATTTTTTGAAAGAAGTCTTTTATGCTAACTAACACTAGGCAGCATTTATTTGATTAAAAATACAGTAAAAACAGTAATATTGTGAAATATTTATTGTTTAATATATTTTACATTTTAATTTGTTTCTGTGATGGCAAAGCTGAATTTTTAGCAGCCATAACTCCAGTCTTCAGTGTCACATGATCCTTCTGTTATATTTGATGCTCAGGAAACCTTTCTTATTAGTTATTAAGGTTTCAGAATTCTTTGATTAACAGAAAGTTCTAAAGAACAGCATTTATTTGAAATAAAAATATTTTGTTTTACTGATTTTTGATCAATTCAATGAATCCATGTTAAATAAAAGCTGCAATTTCCTACACAGTAGAGAGTTTACTTAAAATAGCACTTAAAAATATGCTATTATTAATTATTACAATTACAGACCCCACAACATCCCTTATATTTAAAAAAAATGTTATATATTAAATTGTGGTTCCATGGTTGGGAATAAAAATTGATTAAATGGGTTAAATAAATGCATTTTACGATACAAATGCATAAGTTTTGCTGTTCCGTAAGTAAATTCTAAGATTTATTAGAATTTCATGAATTGCACCTGCTGCTACAAGGGATTTTCTTAGAACTACATATCCCATCATGCTTTAGTACGACGTGAAAGTGATGACGCAATAGATCGTCGTGTAAATGAGTGTAAACGGCACCTGAATACATTGGAAACATGTATATCAAGCCGTAATACGTTCTAGTATAGATTATGGGCGTGCAGTGTATGGTGCTGCAGCAAAATCAGAATTAAAGAAACTGGACAACATACAGTCTAGAGCACTTAGAATGTGCTGTGGAGCAATAAGGTCAACCCCTCTAGATGCTATCAGGGTTGAAATGGGGTAGATGCCATTAGATTTAAGAATAGAAAAGCTTGCGATGATGTATTCGGGTGATGTATTTACAGGGTAGTAATAAGAATCATTGTACACACATAATTTTAAATGATTGTTGGGAATATAAAAAGAATGGAGGAAATAGTTTTGGATGGAAATATGAACAGTGGGTCAAGGATTGTGGTTTGGAGAATGAAGTAATCTGTCCCAACATGCCATTAAATTGGGTATCGGTATGGAATATTCCTGAACCTATTGTTGAAATGAGATTGTTGGAGGCCCTGGAAAAAGCAGAAGAAAGATATACTAATAGTTATGAAATCAATGTTTTTATGAGAGAATTTTTTTATACAGATCAATACAGATGGATCTAAAGACCCAATCAAACAAAAAGTGGGAATAGGAGTGTACATTCCAAGATTTAAGACAAAAGTAAGTTTAAGGTTAAGTGACAAATTGTCTGTATATTCTACAGAATTAACTGCTGTAATAGTAGGATTGCAATGGGTAGAACAGATTAAGCCAAATAGGATTGTTATTTGCTCAGATTCTTCATCAGCTCTTAAAAGTAGCCTATATTGTCAACAAAAACTGATAGAGAAGACCTGCTAGTAGAAATGTATACATTACTGTTCAGACTGAAAATAGAGGGTATAATTGTATACTTTTGTTGGGTAGCCTACCGGCACATGTCGGGATAGCAGGGAATGAAACAGCGGATAAATTAGCAAAAGAAGCTTTAAAGAAAAACTTGGTGGATGTTAAGGTACCCCTGGGAAGAAATGAGATAAAATGAGTAATTAACAGGAAAATAATAAGAATATGGCAACAAAGAAGGTGGTATTATAATAATGTAAAATAAGTTGGGGAAAAAATAACAGTTTTATGGAAGGCACAGAAAGGAAGAAGTAATGATTTCTAGATTATGGATGGGACACACAGGACTAAATTCAACACTTGCATTAATGGGGAAGCATGAAAATGGTATTTGTGATGAATGTGATGTTTTTGAAACAGTAGAGCATGTGCTTTTTAAATGTAGTAAATATGATGATCAGCGTAACAGTCTTTTTT